TTATTAGTATGATTAACTTGATACATGCAACTCTTGATATAAATGAGTTCCCTGTTGGGATATTTGTGGACCTACGCAAAGCTTTTGACACTATCAACCACCAAAACCTTCTTCTTAAATTACATCATTATGGAGCCAGAGGTCACTCCCTGCAATACCTTCAGTCCTATCTTACTGACAGGCTCCAGTATGTTTCTGTGAATAAATCCATTTCTCCAACACTACCTATAAACATCGGTGTTCCACAGGGCAGCATACTTAGCCCTCTCCTCTTTCTCATCAACATTATTGACCTTCCAAATGCCTCTCAACACCTCAAACCAATCTTATTTGCTGATGATGCAACTTTCATTTTCTCCAGTCCTGACCCTCTTGCTCTAAATGTCACTGTGAATACTGAACTAAATAAAGTCCATCTTTGGCTAACTGCTAACAAACTCACCCTTAACATTGACAAAACTTTCTATATTTTGTTTGGTAATAAATCCTCAAATGAAATTAATTTAAGAATAAACAATATACAAATCAGTCGTAAAGTTGATGGTAAATTCCTTGGTGTCCTTATCGATAACAAGCTGAATTTCCAGGGACACATTCTAAATATAGCAAAAAAAAGTTTCTAAAACTGTTGGCATTCTTTCTAAGATCAGATATTATGTTCCTCGCCCTGCCCTGGTGAAGCTCTATTACTCTCTCATCTATCCTTATCTCAACTATGGTATTGGTGCTTGGGGTTCTACTACCCAAAATCATTTACGTCCTCTAATTACCCAACACAAACCTGCTATTAGGACAATATCGAACTCTGGCCCCAGACAGCACTGGGTACCCTTACTCAAATCTCTGAATATGTTAGATATTAAGTCACTGCACATCCTCTCTTGTGTACTCTATATATTTACAACTCTGAATTGTAATGTCAATCCTGACCTTCAATGCTTCCTAGAAGGTTGTAACAGAACTCATGGGCACCATACCAGAAACAAATACCTATTTGGTATTCCAAGAGTAAGACTTAATCAAACTAGGAATGCTCTACAAATCAAGGGACCCAGAATGTGGAATGACCTTCCCAATCATGTCAAAGATTGTACCTCTCTCAACCAATTTAAGATGAAAACTAAGTACTAACTAACTCCATTTAACCTACCTTACTTCTAAATGTCAACCCATGTCTTACTATTTAAAAAAGAAAATGCCGTTTGTTGACCACCTTGTATATTGGGTATTTTCTACCATGTTCCCCCCTTTTTTATCTTTTATTATTTTTTTCTTTTAATGCAATTTATACTTTAAGCTCAATTACTATTAAGTTTTAGTTTAAGTGTTTTTTTCCCCACCTCACCTTGCCCGAAACGCTATGCGTACTAGTGGCTTTAGGTATTGTACGTACCAGTACTACCTCTATTTTAAATCAAACAGAATGCTTGTACTGTAACTCTGCAACTAAGTATGTATTTTTCCTAAATAAATTATTATTATTAGAAAAGCCAAAAAAGACAATTATAAAAAAACTAGCTATGAAAAAAATGATATATTCATTTATTCTATACACAAAGATGAGGTAGGTTGCTTAAAGGTACTTTCAGGTACAATGAAGGTAATAATTTGCACTAATGATCAAAATTGCACAGGCAAAGCCAAGAGCACAATGGAGCAATGGTGGTGAGGCTAGGTAACCTGGGTTACAAAGAAAATTAGAATAAAAATTCTAGAGTAATATAAACTTAATGGTAATTTAAGTAATAAAAACTTAATGGGAACTTAGGAAAGTAAAAATGAACTAGAATAATTAAAACAATAATGACCAATAAAAGTCAAAAAGCAATTATGAAATCTGTAAAACAAATAGCTTACTTATTATAATATTATAAGTACACTATAGCTGAATATTAAAGTTACATTAAAACAAAATGAGGTAGATTAAATAGAGATACACTCAGGTACACTGGATGATAAAGTTTATACTAGAGGACACAGGCAAAGCCAGTGTACTATGGAACAAGGGAGTAAAAAACAAAAAAAAGAGACAATAAAAAAGATGACAATTTTTTTTTTTTTAAATAAAGTTAAAACCTTTTGAAAGGAATGGCAGAGCTAAAGTACAGACTGGTAGTTAAATGAGATTATAATTTGAATTCTGGTTATTCAGCAGCTATCCGATAGTCATTCAGGAAAGAATTGAGGCGAGCTTCAGTGGTTATTAAATAGGTTTTTCCAGTGTCAGTCCTCCTAGCTATAATTGTACCATCTCGCAGAAAACAATGCTTAATTACAGGGGAATTTTTGCAGAAACCACACAGTTTAAACAAGAGATTTTGTCTGAAACTGGTCAGACATTCATTCACATAAATGACAGCTGTATTACACAGGAAAACGGAGGATTTTCTCATGGCAGGAAAGACACTTGCACAGTGCGATCTGCAGGCGCTGTGCGAGCAGCGCAAGGGAGCCTATATAAAGAGGGGAAGAGAGGTCATGCGCTCTCTCCTGCTCTCGC